TTTCCCTGGCTCATCAGCTGGAGGAGGGTCTTAGTAAGTGCACTACAGTCACTCTGGCAGCACCCTGTAATTCACTGTATATTGGCAAACAACTTATTTGGTGCAAGTGCAGTCTTCCCAGGTAATGTTACAGAAAGTCAGTCCTGTGTAATGCTCCTGCATTGTGGTGCTGTGGGAAATCCCAGCACAGGATGGGGGCAGCAGCCTGCCTGGTGCTGAGCTCTGAACACACCAGCTCACCCTGCCCCACTCACGGCTGCCAACTCCCTGTGCAAGCTCTTGCCTCGATTGCTCTTCTGTCCTCTTCTGCTTGCTCAGGTTATGCTTGACGCCCATACTCTTAGCCAGAAGTGATGGTCTTGACATTTACTCCATCCCTGAAGTGCCTGTCCTCTTGACTGCCAAACCCACACTGAAGTAGTTCTCGTAAAAATTCCCTTAGAAACAGAATACACAGCCCCTGTACACAAAGGGAGAGGGGTGCTGGAGCCCAGGGGCATCACCCAGCCCACAGATACACACCTGACTTCCTGCCCCTGTTGACCGCTAGCACACCATGCTCCTGTTACTCTGGTTGGTGCTTATGTTATTCTTGCTGGGCCGTAACATAGCTACTGTCTCTGCAAACAGTAGTTGCTGCCAGATGGGGAGCACTGCCCTGGAACCGAATGCACGCACAGGTCACCTCAACATAGATTAAATATTACTCTGCTGTTGGGTACAGGGAAATAAACTACACCAATCCTGTAGTGAGTTGTTCTTCCCTGTGAGCAGATGTAAGCAACACTCTAGTGTTCTGATTGTAGCTTTTCTTTTGCCTTTTACTAGAAGTGCTGCCAACACATAAAGAATAGTGAAAGTTATGGGCATCCGCTCTCCCCCAGTTCATCTTTCAGCAGAACCACCTAAATGTAATTCCTTCTGAAACACTATTGATGCTCATCCCTTCAAAAGGGAGCTGCAAGGTTTACTTTTTTGTTGTTTACCTAAGAAATCCACTACCTGTGTTTTCCAGAATCTAACTCTTTTGGGGGGACCAGTATGTATGATGTTAAATGGAATTGCTATTTTTTTTCCCTCTCCTAAGAAGTTGACTTGTAGTTGAGCCCTGTTCAGTGTCTGCAGAACCAATCAAAATCCTGTTGACAATGTGCTCCAGGGCGTGCTACAGTAAAACTAAAACTAGTTATGGGTCGAGGCAAAATTAAGTTTGGAGCCGCAGTCTCCTGCAGGATATACTGCCAAAGCAGCCCTCAGCTCAAGTTGTCATTCACCTGCCATCCCGATCAGCA